GGTAAACACAGAAGAACTGGTCCAGGTGCACCTTCTTCTGGAAGAGACAAAGAAAAAAAACATGATAGAAATAATAACAATAAACATGCAGAGAAGAGAGACTAAGGACAACAGCAGAGTAAAGAAATGTGCTCAGTTTGTGCTCCAGCAGTCTAAGTTTATAGCAGCAGAAATTAAGAATAACTCTGGAAACCTGAGTCTAACTATAGGATTTATGAAAAAGGAAAGCCTTCAGTCTAATCTTAAAAGTAGACAGAGTGTGCAGTAATGAGAAAATAAAGTCTGTTGTCTTACAGGACAAAATATTCAGATCTTCATCAGGTTCTAAATGTATTCTAATTCAACGTGATGTGAAACAGCTGTATGAAAACCAGCCTGTAGTTTTCAGACTTGACCATTCTCTCAAATGTTTGTGGAGGAAATTTGGTGCAGTCTTCTTTACATCGTTGCTTCAGTTTATAGAGGTTTGCAGGTATTTCTGCTCAGCTCTCTGATGGTCCCACCACAACATTTCATCAGGTTGAGGTTCTTGACTCTGGACCACTGCAGAACCTCGATTCTTTTCTTTTTGACCTGTTCTCTTGTAGATCAGCTGCTGTGTTTGGGATCGTTGTTCTGTTGGACTCAGTTTGGTCCAAACTTCAGACAGATGGACTCCATTCATTCCAACACTGATTAGTTAAACTTTGTATTATTCTGGACTCAGAATAATAAACATCTGTTTTATTTCCTGGGTTTTTTTAGACCACACTCAAATGGGCCTTTCTGTCAGTGTTCTGGTGGAAATGATGCTTGTTTGAAAATAACATCTTGCGGTGGACATCAGTGTGTTTTTCAGTGTTTGAAGCTGACAAAGCTGGACCACACCTACTACAATTACTCATCAGATTCACAGTTACTACTGGTTTGAGTCAGAACAGTGGAGTTGTGTGTGTGTGGGGGGTGGGGGTGGGCTTGACTCACCCATTTAATGGCAGATAAACACAAACTGGGTGGGGGAAGAGTTGTTGTTAAAAGATAGTATCTTTTTTAAGTGCTCCAATCAGCCTGAAATTTGGATGTAGGAAGGAAGTCCTTTCTGAGGGAACCATCAACACAGATATAAGTAGGGAATGAAGGGTAATCTGGTTTCAAAATAGTTTTTTTTAATTCATAATGTGTAAAATTATAAAATGAAATGTTAAAAAAATATCAGTAACAGATTTTTATTATTCAGCTTATTTTCTGACTGTAAAATCCCAGTTAAACCTGTCCACTAACATTTTTTCATTTTGCTCACTGTTCTTACATTTTACTATTTTTTACAAAACGTTATGTCTAAATGTTAAATTATGAATCTTAAAAATATATATACACAGCATACACAACACAAAAACATACAAATCAAATTGAAATGAAAGGAGGCAAAAAGCAGAAAACAATCTTATATCTGCCCCTTTTTTCCATAATTAACTTAAAGCAATAATAAGAAAACAAAAAATAAATAAAAAAAAATAAAAACATTCAATTCATTCTCAAACAATAACTTTGATATACATTATACAGTTTCATATTTCTTTAACAAACTTATTTTTATCGTTTTGTTAAACAAACACATTGAACCAACATTTTGTAATCATACAAATTAATTTCTAAACATTAGATCAATGGTTCACAAAATCGGGGTAGGGACCCCACTTTGGGTCGTGAAACATCAAAATGTGGTCTTAAAAGGATTGTCAAAATAATTAAATTAAAATTGACTAACTTTTTTTGCCTTTGTTGTTGCAAAAGTAGGTAGATATAGAATGAAATCAGCATTGTTTGACCTAACATATCACCCCAAAATAGTTGACCACTCAGGTCTCTGGTGGTTTGGGTCAAAAGCTGAAAAGTGTGGGAATCCTTACATTAACTCTGGCATGAGGCTGTAGCAATTTCACCATGGACTGCCAAGCTTTTCATTTATAAACTGAGTTAACTCTAAATCAATGTATCTCAGCACTTCAACTGGATTTTTAAATCAGTTTGGATGTTTTCAGCTCTAAATGAAATACAAACTCATTTGGAAGAAAGACCTTGCTCCTTTCAAAACACTGATTTTGAATTTCATGTTCTGATTTATAAACCCTGTAGAGTGAGCTACATGCTTCAGTTTGCTCAGCTCATGTTTGTATAAACTCAGCAAGACAACCGTTATCACTTCAACCGTCTTCAAGTTGATCCTGTTCAGAGGTTTCCTTTTCATGTTGCTGCAGAGCAGAGAAACAAAAAGGATGTTACAAACTGTTCTCCATTCATTATTATTCATTATTCATTCATTATTCAAGTTTACGTATTTATACAGCACCAAGTCACAACATACATTGTCTCAGGGCACTGTACATAAAAAGAATAATCTAAAGAATAAGCCAGCAGATTGTGTTGAATCACTTCATCACAGTCTCCCATCCTGAGCAAACGGTGGAGAGGAAAAACTCCCTGCTAATCAGGAAGAAACCTCCAGCAGAACCAGGCTCAGGACAGGCGGCCATCTGCCTCGACCGGCTGGTTGGGGGACAGGAAAGAAGACACAGGTAAACACAGAAGAACTGGTCCAGGATAGGTCCAGGTGCACCTACTTCTGTAAAAGAGACAAAAAGAAAAAAACATGTTATT